CCATTCTCTTTTCCATACCACACCTGACCCCTTACGTTAATGAAACCCACTCTTGCTTTTACGCATACTGGCCCATAATGGTACTCACATACCTCAATGCCCAAAGGAACTTTCTAAGACGAGAGAATATTTCATTTCTCTCCTGGCTAATAAAGCAGCCACTGGTCATATATGGCTACAGAAGCACCTGAAATGTAGCTAGTGTGACTGAAGAAGTAAATTTTAAATTTTATTTGGTTTTAGCTCATTTAATTTTCAATAGCCATTGTGGTGAGTAGTGACCTCAGTCAGTTCTCCCGTCCTCTCCCCCTTTGCACCACTAGCCCCAGCTGTCTTTTCCCTCTTCCTCCTCCCACACTGCCTCTAGAGCCCCTCTCTTCGTCAAAGCTGTCCCTTACCCCTGGCTTGTCTAGAAGACTTGCTCCACGTGGTCACCTGGGCTCAGTGCCTGCAGCCACAAGCCTGCACGTCCCTCCATGTTGACCCTGGACAATACAAATCAGGAGAGCTGTCACCTTCTCCTGGCAGGCTGGTCTAACATTCTGGGCCATGGAGACTGAGATCTCTGTGGTTTGACACTCACCCTTACTCTGCCTGGTGCTCCCCATGGCTCCACTTACTACTGCTCCTCCACCCCTATGCTGCCCACTGCAGGGGACCTCCTCTGCAGCCCAGGCCAGACTAACCGAGTCCACGTTTCCACGTTCCAGCCACTTGACCAGCCCTACCAGGACCTTTGGAAACCACCCCCACCCCCATCAGCCTGGGGAAGATTTAGGAGAATTTAAGTAGCCCCAGAGCTATCTTTTAAAGAAAAAACACATCTAGAACTTGCCACCAGTGAAAGGCTGTCCTGAGGATTGGAAGGACCGGAGATGATGTGTACAGCTGAAGCTCTGGAAAGCATGAACCAAGGAAAGGCCCCTAGCCCTTCACCTCTGTGCTTGAGCTCAGGGACAGCCCTGTGCTCAGCACCACTGCCACATAAAAAGACCAGTCTGATTTCTGTTCAAGTCATTTCTGAATTCTATTAAAATGTATAATTAGAGAACATGCAGGTAAGGGGCCCCACATCGCAGGTTTTTCCAGGAGTGTCTGGCGGGGGCAGCCGTAGAAGGATTCAGCCAACAGTAGTTATACTTCCAGAAATGAATTCTTGGACATGACTTGGACTAACATTATAGACGTCCGTCTACACACGAATGGGAACTAACTTTTCGAAGGCAGCTTTTTATTCATCTCCGTTTGCTAAGCAGTTGGTCAACGTACTAGTAGCCAGAGTTGTTTGTCAGTGATTATTCCTCCTATGAAGGAATGAAGCCCCAATAAGTGCATGCACAAAGGGCTGAAGGTCTGATTCTCAGGCAGATGCAAACGTGGCACCCCAGCTGCCAGTGAGAACTAAAGATACTCCATCATAACCATGGAGAAGATCCAGAACAAAGAACTAGTAAGGTACAAAGGGTATTTTGATAACAAGAGGAAAGACATAATCTCTCCCTTAAGCAGCTCACATGATACTATGAAAGTGTGATTACCTTCCTTCTGCATGGGTTTATTTGTATGTAAAGCTGACTACATATGTATAAATACACATACTCAGGGGCAGACTATCGGTTCCATTCTTTCTGCTATTGTGTGTGCGTGCGTGTGTGTGTGCACGCAAGTATATGTCTGTGAGCGTTTAATGATTGTAATACCATTTTGAAAACTTAATATGTCTGACTTTCATTCCAGCAGCGTTGTGTTCAGGGTCGAATAGCAACTTCAACAAAATCCAAACAGTCAGCTCCTGCTAGGGGAATTAGGGTTTATGTTCAGTACAATAAATGATCCCAAGATAAATATATTTCTGTTTTTTTTTTAAATGCTGGATGGTGATGTATCATCTTTCCAATACAGAAATGGGGGAGTCTGGCTCTATTTAGTTTGTCTGATTGCTTTTAAGAGGGGGGACAGGTTGGCTCTGAAAAACTACGGTTACTATTCATTAAAGTGTCAATAATGCTTGGCCCAGGCATATCGACAGCAGATTAGCTTGGACTGAGTCTGTGTACAAGACCAGTGCCTTTTTTAGCTGAGCTTGTTTCCAGATCAATACACCCATCAGCATTCGAAAATTAGCCCAGGATGAGATTCCAATACTTGAGGTGGTGTGTCATGCTAAGAGGCGACCTAGCCAAGTCACAGATGTAAACACCTAGCTGGGGATTAGACATTTTCCATTAGCTTGGACATGAGCAAAGATTGATGTAGACCCCCTTGCTTCGCCCCTCCCACGTCTCTACCCCAACATGTGCTCCACTTCCCCTCTTGGAGCCTGTGTAAGACCTCTGGACTATAATTCCAGCCATTTGCTTCAATAAGCATTTATTAAATGTGCACTTTGGATCAGGCACTCTCCCAGGTACTTAGGGCAGGAATGTGTGGGTGTGCAGGTGTGTGTTTTGGGAGCGGAGAGCTTAAGAAAAAAATAAATGACAAAAGCATGGTCTTTATTTTCAGGGAGGTTTCAGCATTTTCCACTATACCTTCCATATTCCAGTTCCAGAAAGGTCCTGCTTCCTAAAGTGAGTATCTGTACTAGTGAGCATTTGCTAACTTTTCTTTGTCAGTGCAGGGTATCCTGCTCTCAACAATAAGTGTGTGCAGGTCGGGGCATGAAAGGAGCAATGGTGATGGCTTCAGAAGCACCCCCTGGTAGAGATTACAAATGGTGCCACTGGAGCAGTCCTCAAACTATTTTTTGGTCAACTATCCACCATAAAAAATGTATTTCGATTGATTGATTGATGATTGATTGATTGATATTTTTAGTTTCTTAAGTAGGCCCCATGCCTGGCATGGAGCCCAATGTGGGGCTTGAAGTCACGACGTTGAGATCAAGACCTGAGCTGAGATTGAGAGGCGGACGCTTAACTGACTGACCCACCAGGTCCCCTCAAAAATGTATTTTACATCAAAAACTTACACACCCTGAAACAAAAGTCTTATGGAATGATACTTATTCTGCTGTTTATAATATGGTGATACCTTCTATGCAATTCCATCTCCTTTAAAAAATGTTGTTTGTATCCCGCAGTTTGAAAAATATTCATTTATAGAACCAATTAATAGAAAAAGCCACCATAATTTCAGAGGAGTGAGAAAAAGAAATAAGAACCACGCGCTGTGGCCAAGCTCTGGCCCAGCCCTGAGGGGCTCCCGTGGCCCTGTGGTCCTTGCTCAGAGCGAGGGCCACAGTCCCCTCGCTGTGGTATGTCTCATCCCCGCTCACCTTGTCTCACCCTTCCCCAGGCTTCCTTCTCCAGCCACGTTCCGGCCCTTGTTTCTCTAGCCAAGGATCTGACAACCCCAGCCCTTTTCCTTGGGTGCCCTGACAAGGAGGAGCTTCCTGCCATTGCCTAGATACCATTCACCTCGATGGAGGGAACTGGGAATCAGGCTGGGAAAGAGACCGCAGGCGAGAAGCCAGGCTCCACTCGCTACCCCGGGCTTAAGCTTCTGAGATAATAAAATGAGGTATTTGGTTCACTGTAAAAGAATTTAAAAAGCTAAAAAGTATTGAAATATTAATTGCATAATTTTAACTCTTCATAAATATAGGAAATATCCACCACATAGAGACCAAGTGGGCATCAAATTAGGCATCTGCTGATTATATGTTGGAACCTTCATGAAAACAAAGTGAAAAAAAAATACATAGGTTGGAGAATAATGGTTAGAAGCTTTAGCCTATGAGTTTAAGTCCTGACTTTAACATTTGCTAGCTGTGTGACTTTGGACAAGTTACTTAGTCTCTTTGACTTCTTCTTTTTGTTTTTTCCACCACAATTAATATTTCAAAACAAAAGTTCAACCTGGTGTATGAAAAAAATAAAAGGGGCCAAGACATGAAGGAATCATGAGGAGAAACATGAGATAATATGTAATTACAAATGTGAGTCTTACTTGCCCTAGGTTGTTCTATTCCCTTGAAATTAACTTCTGATACAAAAAAATAAAAAATAAATGCTGCTAAAATAAAAAAAAGCTAAAAAGTAGTATCAGTATTAAAAAAAATATTGATGGCTGACACTTAGACAGCTCTGTAGGAGCCAGGCCGGCTTCTAAGTGTCATGTAAAATTTAGCAAGCTCATCACATCAGTGACTCCGTTTTATAGAAGGAAACCCCAAAGCCCAGTCAGTAACTTGATCCAGGTCTCACAGCCCAAATGCGGCCAAGTCTGGTTCTGGGCTCTTCCTCCCTAATTAGGAACTGTCCACCATGGTAAAGTGTTGTTTGAATGTCCTGGGGCCAGTTCTGCTTCACAGGGAACAGGCAAGCACCATCCCAGGGCCTGTGAAACATGGACAGGGCAGAACCAAGGGAAATGCAAAACCAAAACCAATACACAGGCCTCAAAAGCTGGGGGTGGGGGATGCAGAAAGAGCGGGCAGGAACTTGGGGTGCCACCAAACATGGAGAATCAGACACAGGTTATTAAAAGGGAGAAGTGGCATCTGAAACCCAGGGCTGGGAGATGAGAGACGCGAGCAAGCTGGAGACAGTGTGGGCGGCAGTGAAGGGCGTGTCCCAGGTGGGCGTTTAGAGCATCTGTGCCGGGCTCTGCTTTCTTTGAAGGCTGTGGGAGGGTATGGCGTGTGTGTAGTGCTAGAAGAGCTAAAACACGGGTCTTAAAATAAAGCAAGCTTAGAACTGGATGGAACCTAAAAAAAAATCTTAAGAGGAGAAAAAAGCCAAGGAAAGCAATAATTAGAAGATAATTTTCTGAGAAAATATATTATTGGAACAAAAACAAAACAAAAAAATCCTAGTCCTATTCAACAGGAAAACTTATTTCAAAAATTCAGCTTCTAACAGCAAAATGACAATTAGTTGTCTTGTCCTGGCCGGATACAACAAATAGAACTCATCTCTGCTGAGGATCACAGGAAGAGTGTTCGACATGGGCTCTCCCAGCCACCTGCCCACACCATCCAGCCAAGCCCCACCTACCTTGCACAATGAGGTGGACCCTCGAGGTCTTTGGGTGGTTGTCTGTCTGCACAGAGCAGGTATACGGGCCCTCGTCATACACATCCACGTTCTGGATCTCGATGCTGTACTGGGTTTGGGTGTTGCTCAGGAGGACCACACGTGGGTCCAAGCACCACTTGTCATTCCCAGCATAGAGGATGGTGCTGCGGTTTAGCCAGGCCACCCGGGTGACCCGGTTGTCAATCGTGCACCTGGAGGGAAAACAAGACGAGTAAGTCCAGGAAGCAGAGAGGAAGTGGGGACCATCAGAATCAGGTCTTCTTGGCAACGCTAGGAGGACTTGTCACCATGCCCTGCCTTCACACTCCCTCCACCATCCCCAATATACACACATACATTTCCTCTTTGATTGTCATGTGTGGCACTTTCTGGAACTGGGCAGCAGAAATCTTGTGGGATTAGAGCCGCAGAGCATTGGCTATCTGAGACTTCTGGGTCCTGAGCAGTTCAGTGCCTCTGAAACCACCTGAGAGAAGGACTACTCCCATCGTCATAACCATTCAATAGTTATAACTGGAGGCATCTTTCAGACCCAGAATGGCTAGACCCTCAGAGCACCATCAGCTCTCCCTTTGCATGAGGATTCCCATGCTGTAGGTATTTGGGAGTACTAAGTCATCCAGTACTTACAACAGCCCTATGAGCAAGGTTCTGTTGGTTAAAGGAACAGAAGAACAAAGAAACTAAATATTTCTCCCAAGCCACACAGATAATATGTGCTAGATCAGAGAGACCCAGATTTTAACTACTAAACATTATCTCAGAATAGCGAATTCTAACAGAAGGCTTCTGAAGTCAAAACTAAATATGGACCACCACCATTGCTATTTATCTTCATTATAGCCGGGGGCAGAAATGTTCAATTACTGAGAGACTAAAGGCATTTTCCAAAATCTCAAAACTGTTTGCACATGTAAAAATAGATTTTGTCTTTTTTATTTTTGCATCTGGAGTCCCCAAATTGTGGAAGCTCCCTTCTCTTTCCTTACACTTTCAAATCTCCCAGCTTCTCTCGCCAAGTCCTAATCACATCTCTCTGTCTGTATTCATTTCCCTCTCTCAATACACCAAGTATGTTCTATGGCCTTAGGCGAAATTCACAAACACAGTGTCCTGATCCTAACTATAATGCTGGAAATAGCAATGTAGCTCAGTACGTACAATGATGCCTCAAATTTATACATTCTTTTGCAGTGTACAAAATGCTTTTACATCCACACTGTCTCTTTTGATTCTTGCAGCAAATCTGTGAAGTAGATGAAATTACCCATTCTCTATCTTAAAGATCAGGACTACAGCATTTGGAATGGTCTGGTGACTGGGAAGTGACAGATATCTCGGCCAGGACATCTCTCTAATTCCTGGTCCCGTGCACTCCTCAGAATGTGCAAAGGGGGATTTTTCAGTGGGAGGGATGACTGACCCTGCTGAGTTCTCAAAATGGTCTGTGACCATAAAAAACATAAGAACTGCTGCTGAGCACACCAGCTTCCCCGGGCGGTCCCTCTTGAGATGAGATATCCTGTATCGTGGCTTCTTTCCGCTTGTACTTGTGTAAATGTCACAGGATCACTGCAGGGCCACTCAGGCACAGGTGGGGAGCCTTGCTGAGAATGCCTGTAGGGAAAGCTGCTCCACCAGAAACATCTTTGCGCTGGTGTCCAGCAAGTTCTGTGCTGTTCATTGTGCTTCCCGGACAATGCAGGACGGAAATGACTTTACTAGGGAAAGATCAAGGGAATGGGCCACTTGCATCAGAATCGCACGAGGGGTTTGTTATAGGTGTTTAGTCTCACCTCCTGTCCTACTGATTCAGTCTTTGGGTATCCAGAAATAAGAACTTCTAACAATAGCCCAGTTGGGTCATAGACCTACCAAAGTTTGAAAAACACTGGTGCAGAGCCGTATGTCTGGGATCAGCTACATAATTTGGGGGGCTCAGGATAAAATGAAAAGGCAGAGCTTATTGTTCAAGAATTGTTAAGAATTTCAAGATATTGAAAGGAGAGCATTTAACCATGTGCAGGATCCTTCTGAGTGCAAGGCTCTGTGTGAAAAAATACATACTCTGAGTGGATCTTGGACTTTATTGTGCTTAACGCTTCTTGGGAATCTTATTAAGATGCATGCACTGATTTGGTAGGTCTGGGGTGGGTCCTGAGAGTCTGCACTTGTAGTAGGCTCTCAAGTGACGCCAATGTTGCTGACTCTAGACCATTCCTTAAGTAACATAAATCTAGAGGTGAAACATATGAACCTTAAGGGTGGGGAAGCACTGAGCTAGCACCTCACTATGTGGAAGTGTGGTCAGAAAACCAGCAGATCACCATCCTATGGTAGCCTGGTAGAAATGAAGAAACTCTGGCCCCATCTCAGATGCAATGAATTAGGATGTGCATTTTAATAGTATCTCTAGGTAACTAGAGTACACGCAAAGTTTGGGCTGGTCTAGAATGTACTTCAAGACTGCCTCTGGCTTTGATGACAATACCCAGAATACTCTGAGAGTGAATGAGAGTAGAGAAGTACAGCCAACAGAGGAAGCACCTGATGCCATCCCTTCCCTTAGGTTCCTCACAGACTTCCCTCATGTTCCTCCTCTCAGGCTGCCTCACCTGGAATGTGGACTTGGAACCACAGTGGTTTGAAATCCCTGAAGAACAACACACTCCAGAGCATACATTACTAGTAACCCACTGGTAAATGTTATTTGTCTTAATTACCTTAAGGGTGGTCCCTGCTCTAAATTGTGCTTGGGGGATGCCTGGGTGGCTCAGTCAGTTGAGCATCTGACTCTTGATTTCAGCTCAGGTCATGATCTCAGGGTCGTGAAATCGAGCCCCACTTCGGGCTCTGCACTGAGCGTGGATCCTGTTTAAGATTCTTTCTCTTCCTCTGCTCGGCCCCTCCCCACTCTGCCCCACTCGCTCTCTCTCTCTTTCTAAAATAAACAAATAAATAAATTCTTAAAAAATAAATTTTGCTTGGATCCCAGCAGAGAAACTATGAAATTCATATTCATGGCTAATGTTTATTGAACACATCTCATTGTATGCTTGCTGCTACACAAGCCTATTATATAGATTACATTACCATCTCAAAAATGTGGTGGGTTCACTTATTAATGCCAGTTTACAGATGGGAGTTAAATCAAGTTAAAAAATATCCAAATTGAAAAAAATACCCAAATTGATTAGAATCACTGTGATATTAAGTTGCAGAGTCAGGATTCAGACCCAGCTTTATTTTATTCTGTTTCAAATTCAGTGTTTTTGAATGTCCTTATAAGCCCTCCCCAACACCCTCCAACATTTAAATTCAGTGTGCATCAGAATCATCTGGAAGCCCTGATAAAGTACGGATTGCTGGCCCCTCCCTGATCTGGAGACCACATCCTGAAATCCATTAATTTAGACATCTGGTTTCTGGTGAAATGAGAGCTGCAGAGCGAGCGGGCACTAGGAAATGACCCTTGTTTGAAATAGTTTTCCATTACTTTACGGGAGAGAACTTCTTTGTAACTGGTATGTTCTGGGAAGCCAGAGCTGAGGCCCAGCTATGTGCTCCCCCAGCAGCTAAAAAGGAATCAGACACCAGGTGAATGGCCAGCCGTGGTGCAGGAAGTTCTGATCAACACCCTCTACAAGGCTTGAATAATTATTTTTGATGCCCACAGTGGGGGCATCTCAGCCTCTTGATGAATCCGAGAGGACTGTCCCGGGCTTCCTGTGAGTGTCTAATTATTGGGAACTGACTGTAACAAAGCAGTCTCACTGCTCTGCACCGTGCTTCCAGGGCCAAAGATGTTCATTTGCAGATACGCTAACACTGCGAAAGCAGACAATTTCCAACCCGGTTATGCGGCCCCTGTGATATACTACACTGAGAAGCTGGCATAGCTTCAGCTGTGGTTTTGGGCACATCCAAGGTCATGTTTAAATGTCCAAACTGTCATTGCTGGATATCAGTCTTGCTGAGCCTCCACGGCATTACTGCTGGCTTCTGCAGAGATGGATCACAAAGGTAACTTGGCAGCCAACTACTGTCACCTCCTCATTCCTGTCCCCATCTATATGTCTCATTTATCGAGTTTCCACAACAATGCAGAGGAGACAATTCTCCCAGGTTAAAAAAAAAAAAAAGTAAAAGCAAGCATAATTGTTCCCTCAGAATGCCCTGGTTGGCGGGGAGTCTGTAGAAGATTGGGGTGGGAAATTCCGTCAACAGGCTCCCTTCTTTGCAGAGATGGCCCTTAACATAATTCTACAAAGTGACTCCTCAAACACACCGTGGTATTTCATGTCCTTCAGGAAGGTAATTGACTGTATGATTAAATGGGAAGTAGGGAAGACTTCAAACTCAACTCTCCCTAATCCAGGCAAGTACATCTGGGGATGGCCACTTGTCATCAGGAAATAGCCACAGGTCAGGACGAGACAGACCAGCAAGGGGGAAGGAGAGACAGAAAGAGTTGAAAGTGCCCTGTCCAAACCTTGAAATCTTCTCACTTTTTTTTTTTTTAGATTTATTTATTTATTTGAGAGAGAGAGAGAAAGCCGGGGGATGGGCAGAGGGAGAGGGAGGGAGAGAATCTCAAGCTGATTCCCCAGTGAGTGTGGAGCCCAACACGAGGTTCAGTCTCATGACCCTGAGATCATGATCTGAGCCAAAATCAAGAGTGGGATGCTCAACCAACTGAGCCACCCAGGTGCCGTGCCTCTCCCCTTTTCCCTGAATCCTTGAGATACACTAAGCTCCCAACCCAAGCATCCTCTCCACCCATACTGCCAGACATACAAAGAGAAACAACCTTTGCAGACCTAAGCCTTCTGGATTGAGCCCTGGAACGCCCAATTCCCCAACTCCAAACATCTCCACTCTGAAAGCTTCCTGTCCTCCAGCCTCAGTGCTGCTCTTGCTTTCATCCTCCAGCCCTCTGGCCAGTGGCCATCAGCCTTCAGCGTTTGTGTAAATGGCCTTCCCTTCCCATCAGGTCTGTGGAACACCTCCCATGTATGGTCCCCATGGACAGTTCATGGCCTGACCTATGCAATATCCTGGCAGAATCCAGACAGACAGATAGACAGAGCCTATTCGAGATGCTTGTTTATCATTTCACTGATGAGCCACAGTGCTCTTATCAGTCGGCATGTCTGTCTGCACCCTGCTCCTTGGAGAAACTTCTTCTTAAAGAGAGCAAGCCTGGTCTATTTGAACCGAGAACATCCAGGGTGTGCAGCTTGCATGGATCTGCAATGTATTTTCTTTAATGATGAAAAGGTTCATGTGTAGTTGACCAGAAGAAGACCAGCCACACATGCCCGTGCTGGACCTCGCACCTGAGCACACCGTACGGCAGAGAAAGCTGTCACACCTGTCATTTTCTGCAGCTACACCAATTGTGCCAAAGCTCTAAAAATGAAGCCCTCTATGTCCTTCATCTCTTGCTGATGAATAGTGGCTTTATTACACTTGCTGCATTTATACATTGAGGAATAGGAAAAAATGATTAAGCAAGCCCAGGATGAGGGGCTGCAGAGATAAAACCATAAAAGTATGAACTCAGGGCCTCAAGCTACTTTTGGATCTGGAAGGAAATGAGAAAGGGAGGGAGACAGTGAGTGTGTGTCTAGAAATTGGAAGAAAAATAGAGAAAAAGCATCTGCTTGGAAACTTCTAAGGACAGACAAAGAGAGTGTTGAAATAAAGAGAAGGATTATTGAAGAAAGAGAAAAATCCAAGCTTGGCCTTTCTTAAACACACCTGCCTATAGATCTGAGGACTATAATGGATCCAGACAGTGGGTAATCCAACCATTCCTTCTATCAAATGGTCCTTTAACTGCTTTTGAAAAGCAACACGTCTCAAGCAACGCTTGAGACTACAGTAAAATAAGAGCTTCCGCCCTTCACAGCACCTGGTCACAATCTCCTCTTATTGCATAGAAATGCTCCAGCTGCGCCTAAATTTGGTTCCTCTGAGCATTTGGCTGGTGCCCTGCTCCTCCCTGCAAGCTTCACAGAGAATCATTGCGATGTGGATGACTGAGAAATACCACCACCCAATCCCATGGAGTTGGCATGGGCGTCTTCCAGACCTGTTCTTGGGGGGAAACCAACAAACAGACAAAGCAAGATGCTTCATCACCGACCTGCTGAAAATTCAGACATCACTGGTACCTCAGCTCTTTATTGCAGAAGGCTTCCCTAGTGGGGTTGCTAATTTTGCCCCTACTAGAGTCTATACTCAGGTTGATATTTATAAAATTGTTTTGGATCATAATGAGACAAAAAACACTAACTTAACATTCAGTTCACAGTGGCCTTGAATCACTCAACTACGACTGTTTTTGCTTAACATTCAAAAGAAAAACAGATACATGCTAGGAAATCTTTCTTAGTTATGAAGGTGACAAAGCTGTCCATGCCATGCCTGGGTAGAAGCAGAAGTCTTAGAAGAGAGGGTAAAGAACTGGGGGTAAAACCCAGCTGTGCACATGCCGCCCTGCAAGTTCACACTGCTGGCGGGTCGCTGTGGTCTAAGGCAGGAGGTGGAGAGAGGCAAGAGGACAAGTTCTGAACTCAGACTGCTGGCATCAAAGTCCCAGGTCTGGGCTTATTGCCTCTCAATAAGCCCTCTGAGCCTCTCTGAGTTTCACTGCACTCATCTGCAATGGAAATAACATTTTCTCCTGCATGGGGTTAATAAGATTGAATGGAACCACGCATGCAAATGCATTGCTTTGCATGTAGTTGAAACTCCACAAACAATGCGACTCTACAGTCTATCATATATACTGCTTTCCCATCTTCCATGCATGTATGTTGCTTCACTACTAGAGGGTAAGTTCTTGAAAACAAGGGCCACGCCTTATTTTTCTCATGTGCCCCTACACGACATCCTGTTGAGTACAGAGTAAGCATTCAATAACTATCTGTTGAGGGATTAATTTTTGTTTAAAATCTCTCACCTTCCACAAACTCCTGAGAAGTAAAAGATCGTGGAGCCTGTGTCCAGAAGAGCCCCAGGCTGTGAGGGTTCACTACTCTGCCTGCATTTACAATAAAAAATGCACACAACTCCACTGATGCACGCTCACTCTTTGAGGGCATCAAAACAGTGGAGTCTATCACCTCCTACTTCTCTAATGTCTTGAAGATAAATCGAGAAGGCTTGGCTTTGTGGACCTCTAAGAAGTGAAGTGTTCCCCATAAGAACACCTATCCATCCGTCCTT